TATTTAAAGATAGAATATTTTTGATGGTAAAAGTAAAAGGTAACAAACAAAAGAAAACAGCTAGATTCTAAGGCGAATGTAGAAAACTAAAAACAGGAACATGTCTGCATTGGTTCCTGCCAGGAGTCCAACAGATTTTTAAAGCCACTTAGAGAGGTCAAAGGTCGAGAGCTTCAATTGTTTTTGTAAGATATTCCAGGAAACAGGAGCGGAGTAGGAGAAGGCCCATTTGCCTACTCGCATCACATGTGGTACATGAGGTGGAACGAAATTGTCTACACAGGGTCCCAGTTACATCAACCATAGGAACAATATAAAGTGTAAAAACAAACATTAAATAAGGATCTAAAATATAAACCAAGAAATACGCTAAACGAACGGTACACTAAAAGGTCTAAGATATACTCTAAACACTAATAATGTCAAATTATACACCAAACAACAGCAGCACGAACATGAGTATTTGTGGGTGGATGAGTACAAGTGAATGAATACAGCAGCATGAAATAATCAGCAGCATGAGATCAGCAGCATGGATAATCAGCAGCACATATCAATAATTACAGTTGCATTACAGTGATTTATTTTTTATTTTTTCACAATGATTATTCTGGTTAGAGATTCATGAGTCTAACAGCCTCAGGGTAGAAGCTGTTCCTCAGTCTAGTGGTTCTACACTTAATGCTCCTCAACCTCCTTCCTGAGGGGAGTGGGGCAAAAAGTGTGTGTGCTGGGTGAGTGGGGTCCTTCATGATGCAGGTGGTCCTCTTCCTGCATCTGGAGGTGTAGATGTCTGTGATGGTGGGGAGACTGACTCCAACATCTTCTGTGCAGCCTTCACCACTCTCTGCAAAGCTTTTCTTTCTGCAGCTGTGCAGCCTCCATGCCACACGTTGATGCTCGAGCACAGGATGCTCTCCACTGCACACCTGTAGAAGGAGGTGAAGACTGAGCTTCCCAGACCAGCTCGTCTCAGCCGCCCGAGGAAGTAGAGTCTCTGATGAGCTTTCTTCATCAGGCTGGTGGTGTTGTTGCTCCAGCTGAGGTCGTCATTCAGGTGTACACACAAGTACTTGTAGCTGGAGACCACTTCCACCACAAATCCTCTTATGTTCAGGGTGGAGGTAGGTGTGTTTGTTCTTTCTGAAATCCACAATCATCTCCTTGTTCTTCTTCACATTGTTATGGAGGTTGTTTGTCCTGCATCAACTCTCCAGGTGTTCCACTTCCTGCCTGTTGCTGGACTCATCGTTGTTTGTGATTCATCCCACCACCGCTGTATCATCTGCAAACTTTACAATGTGACAGCCTAGATGGATAGGTGCACAGTCATATGTGAGCAAAGTGAACAGGAGGGGGCTCAGCACACAGCCCTGTAAGGGGGGGGGGGGGGGGGGGGGGGGGGGGGGGGGGGGGGCAGCGCTGAGGGTTATGATGGAGGAGGAGAAGTTGTGGATCCTCACAGACTGCGTTCTGTTTGTTAAGAGGTCCAGGACCTAGTTGCAAATGGAGGGGTTTAGTCCTAGTGTGAATAATTTGTCCATCAGAGTTTGGGGGATCATGGTGTTGAAGACAGATGTGAAGTCCACAAAGAGCATACAGACATAGGAGTCCTTCTGCTCCAGGTGGGTGAGAGCAGTGTGGACCACAGAGGAGATGGTGTCTTCTGTTGATGATTCTTGCGATATACATACTGGTGAGGGTCCTCGCTGATGTCCATGGTAGCTTTGATGTGGGTCATGACCAGTCTTTGAAGCATTTAGCGACTATCGGGGTGAGGGTTACTGGCCGGTAATCATTCAGTCCAGTCACTGTAGTGCTCTTTGGGACTGAGATGATAGTGGTGGTCTTCAGGCAGGTGGGAACTGTTATCAGGGTGAGGGAGGACTTAAAGATCTTGGCCTCCTCCCACAGACCAAAAACATGCCTGATAGGTTTATTGGTAACTAAATTGTCCCTAAAGGTGTGAGTGAGAGTGTGAATGGTTGTTTGTCTCATTTGTCTCTATGTGTCCCTGTGATGGAAGGAAGATCTGTCTAGGATGTACCTCACTTCTCACACAGTGATTGCTGGAAATAAACAGCAGCTCTCTACAAATCAGAAATAACTACACCATCTACACCATACTAACACCATCTGTTCTGCTGAAAGTTGCTATTTAATCATCCATCCATTATCTTTACCCACTTCTTCCTTTTCTGGTCATGGGGATCACTGGCCCAAGAGGCAGGGGACACTGTGGACAGGTCTCCAGTCCATCACAGGGACACAGAGACAAACGAGACAAACAACCATTCACTCTCTCACTCTCACCTAAGAAAAATTTAGAGTTATCAATCAGCCAAACATACCATACCATACCATACCGTACCGTACCGTACCGTACCATAGCATACCATACCATACCATACCATACCATAGCATAGCATAGCATAGCATAGCATAGCATAGCATAGCATACCATACCATACCGTACCATACCGTACCATAGCATACCATACCATAGCATAGCATACCATACCATACCATACCATACCATACCATACCATACCA